AAGTTGGGTGTGGTGACACACACCTGTAATTCCAGCACTCTGAGAAGCTGAGGCAGGAGAACTACAAATTTGAGCCCAACCTGGGCAACTTAGTGATTTAGCAAAACCTGGTCTCAAAATAAAAAACTGAAAAGGGCTGGTGATGCAAAGGCCTTGAGATCAGCCTCTACTACTGCCTCCACTCCCCCCAAAAAATGGATTACTTTTTTAGAAAATGAAAAAGAATGTACAAGAGCCAAAAGACACAAGAACCCAGACATCCATAAACTGATGAATTTGTAAACAACATATGGTCCAGCCATACAAGTAGATATTATTCCACCTTAAATGGAATGGCATACTGCTGCATGCTACCATAAGGATGAACCTTGAAATCAGCATTTGAAGTGAAGGAAGGACAAATGGACAAATACTGCCGACTGTGTTCATATGAAATGTCCAGAATAGGTAAATCCACAGAGACAGAAAGCAAATTGCCAGACAGTGGGACAAATGGAGAATGGACAGTGGCTTCCAGCGGGCATGGAGTTCCCCTAATGGGCATGGGGCTCCCTTTGGGCTGACAGAAGGGTTTGGAACTAGGTGGAGGCAATGGTTCCAAAACATCATAGGGCTGGCGGTGTAGCTCAGTGGTAGAGCACTTGCCTACTGTGCATGAGGCCTGGATTCTATCTCTGGTATCACAACAAGAATCACTGTAAATGTACCCACTACTGCTGAATTATACATTTTAATATAGAGAATTTTATGATATATGAATCTTGCCTTGATTTAAAAACATTCATAAAACTCGGAATGTACCATCATCAACAAAGACCCAAATGTTAGTAGCAGTGACATCATGGATAACTCATATATATATATATATATATATAATTTATTTATTTATTTTTGAGACAGGGGCTTCACTATGTGGTTCAGGCTGGCCTTGAACTCACGGCAATTCTCCTGCCTCAGCCTCCTGAGTGCTGGGATTACAGGTGTGCGCCACCACGCCTGGCCTTTATATTCTTTTTTGCCTATATATATTTCCTAAATTTTTCACAATTGTTGTAATTTGGGATTTTTGCAAGGAGAACAATTTAATACAGGACACATATTTTATAAGATTATTTATAATAGTCACCCAAAGAATCATATTTAAAAAGAGAGTGTAGGCAATCTGTCCACACACGAAAGACCAAAGAATCCAGTTGAGGGCCTGGATCCCATAGCAATGTCCTGCATGAGTTCAGCTGAAGACCTAGAGCCCATAGCAATGCCTCCCATTAGTACAACTGGCGGCCTAGAGCCCACGACAATGTTTCATGCAGGCCTGTTTCATGGATCTGCGCTGGGAAGGCCCAAAGGTCAGTGGTGGAATCTAGAAAGTCTGTGCCAGCAGGATGAAGGAGCTGTGCTAGCAAGAGGAGGGATCTGCACTGGAGCCAGGAAGCAATGCTCAGAAGAACCGGAGCCCCCCCGAAAGGTACCACAGCCGTCCTCAACAACAGTGAGGTCTGCAGCTCCTTCATGATGAGGAAAGCCGAGTTCCCATCAGGAAAGCCAATGCGACAAGCTTCTCCAGGAGACTGAGCAGTATGCGCCATCTCCCCCTCCAAAGCCAGGAAGCAATGCTCAAAGTGAGGACCAGAGCTCCCCCAAAGTGAACCGAAGCCATTCTCAGTGACAATGAGGTCCCAAGCTCCCCCTCTGACAAGAACAGCCAAGTTCATCAGGAAAGCCAGTATGACAAGGTCCTCTAGCAGAATAGCCCAAGAGAACTCGAAGCTCCCTTACAGCTTCCCAACAGCCTCTGTTTTTCCTCTCCAGTTCTGCCTCTTATGCTGCCAGCAACAGTCCTCGGGTGGGCCTCCCACACCCAGCACCAGGCTGATTCAGTTCAGCTGGGGGTTACAAGCTGAGCACCGGTTGTCAGTCCACCACAACAACGAACACAGATTGCTTTCATACAGATGGTTCCATAAACAAATTTTAAAGATTTACAGAGCATCCACTGTATGCTGGGCTTCAAATGAACAAAACCAAGACTATCTGATACTGGGGCTTCCCTTGCCAATCACAGAACACCTTCAATCCCTCGGGAGGCCAGTGGGGCAGAGGAGAGTGTCATTTTCCACGTAAGGCAAATAAGCCTTCACCAGGTGAAGTCACTTAGATCACAGAGCAAGTCAGTGGTGAGACTAAGATTTGAACTCAGCCCCCTAACCCCAAAGCCTTTGCTCTTAACTATGTTACTGATCTCCAATGGCACCCAGCCTCTGCTGTGCTTGGACCCTGGCCCAGCTGCCAGGAGTGTTCAGTCAGGTGCAAGCAAATAGGCACACACTCCAAGAACTATGCATACAAAGCGGTCTTTCTTGATGCTCCTAGTGGATACGGGGCCCTTCTGAGCCAATCCTTTCATTCCAAAAGTAGCTCATGCTCATGAACAGCTGTTGGCCTTTTTCTAAGCTGTATATTTGATCTAGGTCTTCTTGTTGCTGTCCAGCCACCCTCTGCTTCCACCAGCTCATAAGCCTTCTCCTCTAGGACACCTGCCCTGCTTGCAGGGAAGGAACACAGTAGAAGGAGCTCTTTGGGCTCTAAAGGCTAGGCCTGAGGAAGCAGAGTAGAGCACCACACATAGAGCTCTAAGCTGGGCTCCTTGCTAATCACTTTAAAGATAAAATTTTTATTTTTTATTTTTTATTTTAAAGAGTAAGAGAAGGATAACAATAATGGGGGGGCTTACCAAATTACAGACAAAGTG